TCGGTGCACCTCTTTTACTTGTTACCCAGTACAAGGAGAAATGTCGTGACAGAGACAGGGCACAGAGCCCAGCCTCTCTCAGACCAGATCTGAAGCATTTTCATGCTGTAACTTAGTATTCAAGAAGATAAAGCCTAGTGTACACTAGGCTTTATCTTCTTGAATCACGCGGCGCGGAGCTTGCGGTGGTGACGTGACGTCACTTGCGCAACGCGTAGCCTGCCGCGCACCCTCTAAAATTACGTAAGGGTTGCCGCAGAGAAGCTCCGCTGTGATTGGTCCGTGTGTGATTACTTTCTGGGAAGCATGGAGCGGCTGCAGGGAGCATGGACAAGGCACTTCGGAGCAGACTGCTTCGCGCTTCAAAGGAACCGAAGGAAAAGCAGTTTGGGTTCATGGCAGAGCCTGATATACCCGGAGACTGTGGACGAGAGTTCTGTTGCATATCTAACTTATATAAAACTTATAAACAGTCGTTTCTTTTGCACTGTTCCTGTTCCTGTCTTTGTTTGAATCCGCACTCGTAGCTAATCGCGTCCTCCTGCACTTTGCAAATAGTTCATGTTTGTCTTTACCACTTACTGTTTTGCTGTTTGTGCTGAATACAATTTAATAATAACTATGTTTCCAACAAGAACTGTGTCTTTATTCACAACATCACAGTTAAATGAGTTTAGAACTGTCACATAAACCTACAGTAGATACACATGTAATGAGCTCAAACAGCTTGCTTCGCTATTGTTTTTGTTCTGAAGAAGAGAAAGTAGCAGCGTAAATGGGACCACTTTGGTTTCTCAGGCAACTCCTGTGAGATCGCCATCATGTGGTTGGTTGTGGGATTACAACATTGTCTTCAAAACTCTACAAGGGGAACGCGCGAGTGTACCACCAACTGTGGCTGGGTAGGTCCAGCGCGAGTGTACACAGGCCTTTAGACACACCTCCGCTTCCACACAGTCACAGTCACAGTTTGACAATGAGACCTTTGGTATTTAGCATATCAATCATACCAGGCCTAGCCTGGTCCCATCTGCATACTGTACAACCCCCATTGCCCTGAAGACTGGCTGGAACCAACAGTGAATTTCAATACAATATATTTTAGCCACATATTAATTGACTTACATAATACAACATTAAAATAACTTAAAAACATTCCAATGACAGAAACCTTTAGTAGCTCTTTTCCAATATAAAATGGTATTAAAACTTTATTTCTAATGGATACAAGCCCTGCATAAGGTCTTCAAGTTTGGTAACATTTTGTTTGATAGTTGGTTTGGCAAATCGTCACTACAAAAAAATGGAAGGTTTGTGCCTTTCTCATGAAGGAGCAAAGATAATGCAGTGAAATTTCTGTTGTTTTTTGTTGTGATGCGTATGTGCAGTAGCTAGATCCTCATGAAGGCTCTTTTTGGCGTTGAGTGTTTTTGGGAAGTCGGATGTAGATATTTCAGAGTTTTTGTGTAGGTATCCATGGTTCTGCCCTGCAGTGGTTTCGGTCATATCTGACAGAGAGACATTTTTGTGTCAGTTTGGGAGATTTTGCCTCTTCTTTGGCCCCTCTGACATGTGGAGTTCCTCAAGGGTCAATCCTTGGTCCTTTATTGTTTTCATTATATATGCTCCCACTTGGACCCATCCTGAGAAAGCATGATGTTGGCTTCCATTTTTACGCAGATGATTGTCAAATTTATTTACCACTGAAAAACAGTGATGGACATGATTCTACCTCTCTCTTGGACTGTTTGAAGGATCTACAATCATGGATGTCTTTAAACTTTCTGAACCTCAACCAGGAGAAAACTGAGGAAATTGTTTTTAGCCCGAGTAGCGGCCTCACTCCCTCTGCTGACCTGGGGTTTTTAACATACTCCATGAAGCCAGCAGTGACTAATCTGGCTGTTAGGATGGACGCTAACCTGAAACTGGACCAGCAGGTTTCAAAAGTTGTCAAAGCAAGCTTTTTTCAGCTAAGGCAACTTGCAAAATTCAAGCCTTTTTTAACAAAGCAGCACTTTGAGACTGTTGTGCATGCTTTTGTGACAACCCGTTTGGATTATTGCAATGCACTCTACTGTGGGCTGAGCCAACAGGCACTTTCTCGGCTGCAGCTCGTCCAGTATTCTGCAGCTCGACTTTTAACTGGAACTCGTAGATGGGAGCATGTGACACCGGTTTTAAAATCTCTGCACTGGCTTCCAGTTGGTTTTAAAATTGATTTTAAAATTCTTTTATTTACTTTTAAATGTTTAAATGGACTGGCCCCCTCCTACCTCTGTGATCTTATTCTGCCCTATGTTCCCTCTCGTGCCCTGAGGTCGGCAGATCAGCTGATGCTGGTGGTCCCTAAGACACAGCGTAAGCTTCGTGGTGACCGAGCTTTTTCTGTCGCAGGTCCACGTCTTTGGAATCAGCTACCCATTGAGATCAGACAGGCTCAGTCTCTGCCTGTTTTTAAGTCACTTCTTAAAACTCATATTTTTTCATGTGCTTTTGATAATGTTTGATTTTAGGTAATATTGTTTTATATATGTATTTTTTAGTCATTGTGCTTGTTTTTGTGTACAGTACTTGAACTGTAAAGTTTTTAAAGTGCTTTATAAATAAAGCTGGTATGGTATGGTTTCCAAGATCACATGAAAGCATCAGCAGTCTGTAATGTGATGTCAATGTACTATCATGACATCACGTTCAGAGCAGCTTTTAAAACAAACGTTTTGCCCATAAGTTAGGGATGTATATTTCTCTTTATAACCGCATGCAGGATTCTCAGTGGTTTCTGCAGTGGAAATGATTCTCACCACAGCTTTTATTTGCCATCAGGACCAAGCTCTGATGTGAATGTCACGGTTTTCTCTACAACAGAAACTGAGCAAAAAAAGAAATCACAATGTCGACGCTCAGAAGCGCTGTTGAGAATCCTGGCACGGCTGTTTGGTGCCATTCATTTTCAATAAAAAAACACCCATCCCTATAATGCTTCATACACCATATTCACCCTTCATTTACCATATGTTTTCTACTAATGATATTTCAGTCAAAAACATTGAATTATATTGATTATCATGATTAAAAGCCCAAAATGATTTATAATATTCATACTTTAAAAAACAGAAGAGTTGAATCAGGTTTCCTTCAAAAACCTTTTATTCAGTTCAGCCTTATAAATATATAGAAAACTGATTTGTTTAATTTGAGAACAAAAAAGTGTTGCATTTTAGAATATAGTACCGTGAAAACCCTCTGTGTGTATATGACAATGTTACCCATTTTCAATTGTTCTGCACAAAACACTGTTCTGAAATGGGTCCAATGTTTGTGTTAGAATTACTTTGAGGTGGTTAGACATGGACCTCTTTACAATGGGACAAGGCACTAGCCTATTTTTTCTTTCAGGTTGTGTCTATGATGTGACAGATCACATCACGGAAAATGAGTGAAATGTGTGGATATGACATATCATTTGACAGAATTAAAGCAAACTTGATAAAGGCAACGTGGATGGTGGGGGCGGTAGTTTCAAAGCTAAGGCTATTTTGAAACTTGTTTATGACTTTGTCACAAACCAATTTACCTGATGATGTTACGTTTTTGTAGCAAGAAGGATTATGATCAAGCCAGTGAGATAACAGAGCCCATGTATGGTAAATTTGTTATTAGGGCTAGGGAGGTCACTTTGGTCATTCATAAAACTACATCAAAACAATCCCGAACGTAAGCCATTTACAACACAGAAGTGTTACAAAATGTTCCAGTTTAATAAAGATATGAAGTATTGTAAATATGCACATTGAGCTAATGGCTATTGGATTTCTATAGAGATTATATAGCGTTGCAAAACATTTTTTATAAGACCTGGATAAAAAAAAAAAGTCCATCACAATCTAAAATACAATGGTGAGCTAATAAAATCAATGATGTACCAAAAAATAACCTTATTGAAATATTGAGTTTTTCCCCACACATTAAAATTTCAACATATCGTTCAGATGAAATTTCAACATCGTTCAGATAAAATGTAAATGACTTTTAATTACTTGAAATGTATATCCATTTCCTCAATAGAAAATGGAGAAAGTTGCATGGCCTAATTTGACCAGTTTGCAATTTTGTGTGAAAGTCTGTTTCAAAATTCAATTGATATAATACTCTGGACTGTGATGAAATGATACATTTGAAGAATACAGCATAAAACACATTTTTGTTCATTCACATCAAATACATGGTTCACAATCTTTATGGTAGCGAAATTGACAATCATTTGTTCGTTGTTCAATTCCTTCATTTATACTCCAAATATTAAAACAAATAAAAATAAAATATCCCCATGTCTGCACTTCATAGCTTTAAAGAAGACATATTGTGCCTGCATCTGCTGTGATGCAATTGTAAATTATGAATTTGACTACAGTATACAGACAATCTGAAACCTGTGGCTCATATTATAAATGTAGTGCATTTGAAATTATTTGAAAACCAAAAACACGTGTTTTTGGTTTTCAAAAGCTGTAAAAAATAAATTGCACACAATATGTCCTCTTTTATCCCTGCTTGTAACATCTCAGAATTGTCCCTGAGTGAAAAGTCTTCTAATTAACATGACATCGGCTTGAGTTTGTTCACATTTTCAACTGTAGAAAAATATATTACATGTACAGCATCATCTTAAAATGAGTCCAAGTTGTCAAACAAACTAAACTAATTCATATAAGTGGGCCCTATATATGGCAGGGTTATATAAAGCCCACGTAATTAAAACAAGGGCTTATTCCATAGTATTAAAACATTGCTAACTACATAGAATATTTAAAAGCAGGCGTACCTAACTTTTAGACCACAATAAATCTAACAATTTAATAAAATCCATGTCACTAGTTCCTGGGTTTGCTTTGTTCACCAGTTATTGCATGTATTTTTGGCCCTTTCGATTAGCTTTTTTAGACTAAAAATGTAAAAAAAGAGAAGACCATCCACACTCCACAGTCTCTGAAAAGTCTCTAAACTGTATCTTCGTCCATCCTGGCCACATCTGCTAAAGTGACTGTAGCTGGGGTGGCCTTGTCATTGCCGCTGTCCAATTTGGCTGGAGATGCTGGAGGGAGCATGGCTTCGCACTCCTCTTTGGGCTGCTCTTTCTCACGCTGCTCCTCTGCTTTCTTCTCACGCGCCAGCAGCCGGTAGTTTATGCCCATGCCCAAGAAGAGGATGAGGCTGGCCACAATTAGGATGATGCCTGATGAGATGTACGTGTAGTCGTAGTGTTGGTAGTAGTTGTAGAAGCTGCCTGGAAGAGCATACAAAAGCAGAGGGTGTGTCAGGGAGGTGGAGGAGTTCCAGTTTTGAGTTTAGGAGATTTGCAGATTTAAAAAAAACAATGAATGTCTATAGCTATAAAACAGAGGTGCATCTGCTAACACAGGGCTGAACCAGGGACTAAACTATATCAATCATAAGCAGGGGGTAAATTGCAGGTGCACAATTGATACACTTGTGATACAAGTGTGAGCGGCCCAAAAACAGGTGTGCTCCTTTCTTTTCTTTTCCCGTAAGTAAAGGGGTAGGGCAGAAAGATTAACTGAATCAAATTGATCAAATACAAAAAGGCTTTGAATACAATCTTTGCCTTAGTTTTACAACTTTACACATAAATATTTCTCAGTTAATAGATAACTGGATTAATTGAAGGTAATACTAGAATATAGCATACTTTACAAAGATAATCAATCGCTGCTTCCCAATATATCATAATTTCATTATTCATAGACCATTAGGACATTGTAGGGGTGCTATCATGCTCAATAGAAGTTTGGATAAACAAAATCTTTGGAACCCGTTTAGTGCTCAAGCAACCCCAAGCACCCCTAATGGTAAGCACCAAAAATATAAGACTTAAATAAATGTGGGACAAATTTGATCAAAGTAAAAATTGTGCCATATTGACACTGATCCATTTACAAAAAGGCATCTGAGGTTTTATAATACCATCATTAATTATGGAATGTCCCAATGGACATTACTAAGTATTTCAACAAATTGGCCTTTATCAGGAGTATAACAATGTATGTGAGTGCTTCTTTTGTATTTCCTGAATAATATAAAAATGTACCTGTGAATGCATGCATTTCTGGTAATGCCCATATACTACTACACTTACAGTGCCTTGCGAAATTATTCGGCCCTCTTGAACCTTTCAACATTTTGCCACATTTCAGGCTTAAAACATAAAGATATAAAAAAAAATTGTCATGAATCAACAACAAGTGGGACACAATCGTGAAGTGGAACAAAATTTATTGGATAATTTAAACTTTTTTAACAAATAAAAAACTGAAAAGTGGGGCCCCTTTACTTTCAGTGCAGCAAACTCACTACAGAAGTTCAGTGAGGATCTTTGAATGATCCAATGTTGTCCTAAATGACTGATGATGATAAATAGAATGCACCTGTGTGTAATCAAGTCTCCGTATAAATGCACCTGCTCTTTGATAGTCTCAGGGTTCTGTTTAAAGCGCAGAGAGAACCATGAAGACAAAGGAACACACCAGGCAGGTCCGAGATACTGTTGTGGAGAAGTTTAAAGCCGGATTTCCCAAGCTTTAAACATCTCAAGGAGCACTGTGCAAGCAATTCTATTGAAATGGAAGGAGTATCAGACCACTTCAAATCTACCAAGACCCGGTCGTCCCTCCAAACTTTCATCTCAAACAAGGAGAAGACTGATCAGAGATGCAGCCAAGAGGCCCATGATCACTCTGGATGAACTGCAAATAACTACAGCTGAGGTGTAGCACAACAATCAGTCGTGCACTGCACAAATCTGGCCTTTATGGAAGAGTGGCAAGAAGAAAGCCATTTCTCAAAGATATCCATAAAAAGTCTTGTTTAAAGTTTGCCACAAGCCACCTGGGAGACACACCAAACATGTGGAAGAAGGTGCTCTGGTCAGATGAAACCAAAATCAAACTTTTTGGCCACAATGCAAAACGATATGTTTGGCGTAAAAGCAACACAGCTCATCAGCCTGAACACACCATCCCCACTGTCAAACATGGGGGTGGCAGCATCATGGTTTGGGCCTGCTTTTCTTCAGCAGGGACAGGGAAGATAGCTAAAATTGATGGGAAGATGGATGGAGCCAAATACAGGACCATTCTGGAAGAAAACCTGTTGGAGTCTGCAAAAGACCTGAGACTGGGACGGAGATTTACCTTCCAACAAGACAATGATCCAAAACATAAAGCCAAATCTACAATGGAATGGTTCACAATAGACGTATCCAGGTGTTAGAATGGCCAAGTCAAAGTCCAGACCTGAATCCAATCGAGAATCTGTGGAAAGAGCTGAAGACTGCTGTTCACAAACGCTCTCCATCCAACCTCACTGAGCTCGAGCTGTTTTGCAAGGAAGAATGGGAAAGAATTCCAGTCTCTCGATGTGCAAAACTGATAGACATACCCCAAGCGACTTGCAGCTGTAATTGCAGCAAAAGGTGGCGCTACAAAGTATTAGCGCAAGGGGGCCGAATAATATTGCACGCCCCACTTTTCAGGTTTTTATTTGTTAAAAAAATTTAAATTATCCAATAAATTTTGTTCCACTTCACGATTGTGTCCCACTTGTTGTTGATTCTTGACAAAAAATTAAAATTTTATATCTTTATGTTTGAAGCCTGAAATGTGGCGAAATGTTGAAAGGTTCAAGGGGGCCGAATACTTTCGCAAGGCACTGTATTACCATTGTCTTTGCTGTAGAATGCATTCATATTTGCTCCATTAACAGTTGTGAATGTTCCTCAAAATAGTTTCACAATACATCTTTCTCAACAGCTGCGCACCCCTCACCTGTGAGTGGAGGTCCCAGTAGTACAGGCCCGCACTCCACGATGGTCACCAGCCCCACGGCCGACGAAAACCTATGTGTGCCCACCAGGTCCATCAACGTTTCGAACAGCACCGCGCTCAGCCAGCCGAATGCAAAACCGAAGAAGATGGCGTAGATGACAAAGCCGGTATAGTCCACTGAGATGGGCGCCAACACGTGACACACCCCGTTGTACAGCACTGCCGCGGCAAAGAAGTACTGCACTCGTGGCCGCACCCACTTCGTATTGGCCAACAGCCCCATGGACGGACGCGCCACCATGTCCACAAAGGCCAGCACCGAAAGCAGGAACGCGGCCTTCTCTTTGCTGATGTCCTTGCTTTTTGCATAGTTTGTCAGAAACACCAGTGGCGCAAACAAGCCAAAAAACATCACGACATTTCCGGACAGGTACAGCAGGAACCCTCTGTGCTTAAACAGCGTCAGATCAATGAACGAGTTGATGGTTTGAAGCACCGTTTTCTTGTCTTGCTTCTCCTTCACCTCGCACATGGGAGACGGCGGAAGCGGCTTGGGTCCAATGGGGCGCATGAGTGATCCAGCCACGCAGCAGTTGAGCAGAAGTCCCCCCAGAATGAGGAAGCTCCCTCTCCAGCCAAACGAGTCGTACAGCCAGGTGTTCAGAGGGGCCAGTGTGGACAAGAACACGGGGCTTCCCGCCATGGCGATGCCGTTAGCGATCGGACGGCGCTTGTAGAAGTATTTCCCAATCATGGTCAAAGCAGGGTTCAGGTTGAAGGCCAGGCCCAGACCTGAGGGCAGACGGCAAGAAGAAAATGTAAAGAAAGAATGGAAAATGCCCTATGACCTCAAGTTATAGGGACATTTTATTGAAATATAACAAGTTTTCAGCATAGTTCCATTCTATCATCTGTGGAAAAGCAAACAGGAGACTTTTTAAATGTTGCATATTATGTTTAACTCTTTAAACTAAGTAAAAGGCACTAGAGGAGTGTGTTTGTGTTGGCACATACCGGTTGCCTCGCCTGTCAGTCGGCTGGCTACAGTAGTAGTCAATCACTGCAGTGTATGGAGTGAATTAATAAAGTCATGTGAAGAGTCAGAGTGTCAAAAACGTGCTATATAAAACCAAGGCATTATTTTGATTAATTTGATGAGATTAGCGTACTTTTTTAATTATATAATTAGATAAATAAATAATTTATTTACTCGTGTAAAGGTTTGATTGTTGTCTGTACACAGGGAGGTAGCTACATTTAGCTATCGATAGCAAGCTAAGCTAAAACTTCCTTTCTGTGCTAGTGTGCTGTATCTAGCGCTTTCACATGTTGCCATTCTGTTTTGTGCTTAAGTTGTGTGTATATTTATTCGTTTTAGAATCCCTTCCCACTAGTGAGGAGATTTCCAACAAGCAATGAGTGACCGTGTACCTAACATTCTCCTCATCTGGACCTGGTCTCAGGAGAAATACGTACTTTGGACTTACTTATATTTGGTTTTGCAGTTTATTTTTGTTTTTAGTAAATGTGTGATCGTATAAAGACTTTGTTTCATTCATTTGTCTGTACACGTTCAGAAAAGGGGTTCGAAAGCAAAAGTTAGGATTTAAGACCATAAGAAAAGTTTGGTTCCAAAACACTATAAATCCATTTTGATCAATTTGAGTAAAACTGCGTTTTCTTAAGCAAGAAAAGGATATCATGAAAATAACTATTGTCTGTTTCAAGTCTTCATATAGCATCAGAAGGTTATAATAACATAAAAAATTAAAATCCAGATTTCAATATTTCAAGATTTATATTAAATATAAATACAGGGCCGACAGTAGCTCAGTTGGTAGAGCAGTGGCCTTTGAGCCTGGAAGTTGTGAGTTCAATTCCCACCATGGGACCTACTCCAACTGCTCCCACAGATGTCTACTGTCGTTGTGTCCTTGGGCAAGACACTTAACCCCACGATGCCTGAAGCCCCCACTGAAAGACCAAGGCTGTTTCACCACTGACGGAGCAGCCATCTTCCTGTGGACTCACCCCCTGCAGAAGATCAGCGAGGGACTGGTGCTATGAGCATTGGGTAGCAGCTCTCATTGCCACCCCCCCGACCCAGAAATGGACAATAAAGGGCTTAAAAAAAAAAAAAATGTTTTTTTTTTTTTTCTTTCTCAAAACGCCATAAATCAAGATTTCAAAAGGCTATAACTTGAAGATAAAGGCATACTGTAAATGACAAATATCTTCAGTATGAACCAAAATTTGGGATGGAAGTTCATTTGTCATCTAATTTACATATTATGACGTCATCAAGGTGGTGGCCATATTGGAAAATGTAAATTTTCATATTCAAATTTCCAAAAGCTGTAGTTTGAGAGTGGTTTGAGATAAGAATACAAAAGGTCACAAAAGGTCAATGTGAAATATCCTTATTATAAAAGGAAATTGGTGATGGAAATAAATTAACTGATACAATTTATATATAATATACTGGTCGGCGGCCATAGGGAATTGTATTATTTTCAAAGACCTCCAATGATCTCCTTATAGTTCTTAGTTTACCAGTCATGATATCTGGAGTTTTGTTTAAAAATTTCCCTTTCAAAGAACTAGTGTTGTTTGTTTTGGTCGAAATGAGGCTCCAGAATTCATCATTTAAAAACAAATATGAAATGAATGGGCTCGGAGCTTGTCAGATTGTCTCCACAATAACAGACTCATCAACACTTCAAGGCAAGGCAAGTTTGTTTGTATAGCACAATTCAACACTCAAAGTGCTGAACAAAATAAGAAAGCATTAAAAACATAAATAATAACAGTACATTAAAAAGAAAGATAAAAATATAAAATATACAATCCCTCAGTTGTATGCACAGCTAAACAGAACTGTCTTTAACCTTGTCTTAAACATTGTCAGAGAGGAGGCCTGTCTCACATCTTCAGGAAGATTGTTCCAGATTTTTGCGGCATGAATCTGAAAAGCAGCCTCCCCATGTTTAGTTCTGACTCTGGGCACTAACAGGAGTCCTGTCCCTGTGCTCCTCAGAGTCCGGGGGCTGGTTCATAAGTACTAACATGTCACTAATATATTTTGGTGCGAGGCCATGGAGAGACTTGTACACAAGCAGAGCTGTTTTAAAGTCTATTCTCTGAGCCACAGGAAGCCAGTGCAGAGACCTGAGGACTGGACTAATGTGGTCGTACTTCCTGGTTCTAGTCAGGACTAATGTGGTCGTACTTCCTGGTTCTAGTCAGGACTAATATGGTCGTACTTCCTGGTTCTAGTCAGGACTCGAGCTGCTGCATTTTGAATGTACTGCAGCTGTTTTACAGCCTGTTTGGACAGACCTGTGAGCAGGCCATTGCAGTAGTCTAACCTACTGGAGACAAATGCATGGATAAGAATCTCCAAGTCTGCTTTAGACACTATGTTTTTTGATCCTGGCGATGTTTTTTAGATGGTAAAAAGCTGCTGATGTTACTGATTTGATGTGGCTATTAAAATTTAAGTCTGAGTCCAGTATTACCCCTAGATTTCTGACTTTGTTGGAACGTTTCAGAGAGAGAGACTGTAGGTGACAGATGACGCTCTCTCTTTGTTTCTGGGGACGAAAGACAATCATTTCAGTTTTGTCTGCGTTTAGCTGAAGGAAGTTGTTTTGTATCCACTCACTGATCTGTTGGATATAGTGAAGGAGTGAGTCCACTGGTCCATGTTCTCTTGCAGTCAGTGAGACATAGATCTGAGTGTCGTCTGCATAGTTATGATAGGACACTTTGTTTCTGCGTATTAACTGACCTAACGGCAGCATGTAGTGATTGAACAAAAGAGGTCCCAGGATCGACCCCTTTGGTACTCCACAGGTCAGGGCCATATGATCTGAGACACAGTTCCCAATCTCCACAAAGTACTTCCTGTCTTCAAGGTAAGACCTAAACCAACTAAGGGCGGTGCCAGCGACAAAAAACCCAGTCCTCTAGTCTCTGTAAGAGGATCTCATGGTCGGCAGTTTCAAAAGCTGCACTCAGATCTAACAAGATTAAGATTGAGACTTTGCCTGCGTCAGTGTTCAGCCGGATATCATTTGTAACCTTGACGAGAGCAGTGCTGTGGTGGGGTCTAAAGCCTGACTGAAACATATCCAATGAGTGGTTGATTATAAGAAATCTAGTAAGCTGTTGGTAGACAACTTTTTCAAGGACTTTCCCCTTAACTGGCAGATTTGAGATGGGACGATAGTTGTTAAGTACCGTAGCATCCAGACTGCTCTTTTTTAGTAGGGGCCTGATGACTGCAGTTTTCAGGGACTTTGGGAATATTCCAGAATGAAGGGACATGTTTACTATCTGTGTGAGTGAAGGTAACAGACTGCTCAGAACAGACTTCAGAAATCTCGTGGGTAGTACATCCAGGCTGCAAGTGGCTCAGACTTGTGATTATCTCTTGGACAGTTTGATCATTTACAGGTGCAAAGTGAGTTAGCTCAGAGAGCCTTTCTGGCTGTTTGATTGTTATCTGTGGATTGGAGACAATGGCGTTTTTGATGCATTGAACTTTGTCATTGAAAAAATTTGCAAACTCATTGCATTTACGTTTGGAAGTAAGCTCTACTGGCATCTGAACAGGGTTTTTTTTTAATCTATTAATTGTTGAAAACAGAACACGCAGATTGTTACTGCAGCCTTCAATCATTTCAGAAAAATACCTTTCTCTCGTACTACATAGGACCCGGTTAAACTCGCACAACTTATCTTTGAAGATACTTCTGATCTACTTTTGATACTCTTCCTCTACTCTCAACAACTACAAGCCATCATTCATCATGTTTTTTTTCATGCAGCTTTTACCGCTGTAGGAGGAATGGAAATGATCTCTTTCCTTAATCAAAGACATGTTGTTGTATGAGTAAGTACAGTGCCTTGCGAAAGTATTTGGCCCCCTTGAACCTTTCAACATTTCGCCACATTTCAGGCTTCAAACATAAAGATACAAAAATTATTTTTTTTGTCAAGAATCAACAAGTGGGACACAATCGTGAAGTGGAACAAAATTTATTGGATAATTTAAACTTTAACAAATAAAAAACTGAAAAGTGGGGCGTGCAATATTATTCGGCCCCCTTGCGCTAATACTTTGTAGCGCCACCTTTTGCTGCAATTACAGCTGCAAGTCGCTTGGGGTATGTCTCTTTCAGTTTTGCACATCGAGAGACTGGAATTCTTGCCCATTCTTCCTTGCAAAACAGCTCGAGCTCAGTGAGGTTGGATGGAGAGCGTTTGTGAACAGCAGTCTTCAGCTCTTTCCACAGATTCTCGATTGGATTCAGGTCTGGACTTTGACTTGGCCATTCTAACACCTGGATACGTCTATTTGTGAACCATTCCATTGTAGATTTGGCTTTATGTTTTCGATCATTGTCCTGTTGGAAGATAAATCTCAGTCCCAGTCTCAGGTCTTTTGCAGACTCCAACAGGTTTTCTTCCAGAATGGTCCTGTATTTGGCTCCATCCATCTTCCCATCAATTTTAGCTATCTTCCCTGTCCCAGCTGAAGAAAAGCAGGCCCAAACCATGATGCTGCCACCACCATGTTTGACAGTGGGGATGGTGTGTTCAGGGTGATGAGCTGTGTTGCTTTTACACCAAACATATCGTTTTGCATTGTGGCCAAAAAGTTTGATTTTGGTTTCATCTGACCAGAGCACCTTCTTCCACATGTTTGGTGTGTCTCCCGGGTGGATTGTGGCAAACTTTAAACGAGACTTTTTATGGATCATTTTGAGAAATGGCTTTCTTCTTGC